TAAACTAGCTGCTTCTTCTGCGTTTGATGTTAACGTAGCTTTAAAGACTTGCGGGTGAATTAGTTTCTTCCCATGTTATGGAGGGGGGGACTGTTACGTGTTATAGAATGTAATAAACTAGAAATGTCTTTAATCCAGTAATCTGTCATATTTTACATTAGAACAGGATTTATATGAAAGTCTACTCTCTCATCTTCACCCTCAGGCCCCCTGATCTCCTAGAATCCTAGATCCGCCCCTGGCCTAGTCAAAGTCTGGATCCAAATCAAAGGGAGAATAATAGGAAACAAAAGCAGGCCACACTTTTCAGATCATCCTTGTTTCAAATATGTTTTTAGGCAGGTGTGGTTCTGAATGCTGAGCCCCCCTCCCTCTGGGACGCATCCTCCCCCGTCCCTCAGGTACCTGCCCCCCTGGGACCCCCCCCTCTGTGTTTTGGGCCCCCCCCCAGCATGAAGGAACAAAGTGTATGGACGTCCGTCCTCTACTGACCGAGGTGGGGATGTAGATGAACAGGGAGTAGCCGTAGACACACACGGTCTCCAGGAAGGAGTAGCCTCCATGCTGCCTCTCAGAGGCCCGCCTCCAGGTCAGGAACCCCCACAGAGCCACCGGAACCAGCCAGGCGTACAGGAAGATCACCAGCGCCGCTATGGTCACTGCAGGGAGACGGAACAGAATCAGAACCAGGGTCGGCCAGTCCAGCCTGTAGCGGAGCTGCAGACCCACCTCTGTGGAACTGGGGCCTGTGGGGCCCCGTGGCGCCGCCAGCCTCTCTGAGGAAGGACGACAGGTTCCCACTGATGGCTACTGAGAACACCAGAGTCACACAGATCCAGAACGGACCTGCAAACACACGGTACCAGAATCAACCTGAGCCTGGTGCCGGGGCCGATCCTTACTGGACCCTCAGAACCTTCTGGTTCCCCAAAGTTTCAGACGTTCAGAGGAGATAAATATGGAAATGAAAGCTGCACTAAAGAACTTTTAACCACTGGCTCCCCCTGCAGGCCACTGGCTGCACTGCACTGTCTCTGGTTCTGGTATCTGACCCGTTTGGACCAGCAGATTCCTGGAGTTCCTGGTAAAGATGAGGAAACATTCACCCTCTGAATGAATCCTCCATCAGCTGAAGGTAACGGCTGTTAGCTCTGCTAGCTCTCAGACTGACAGGAAGTGGCGCTCTGAGTCACATGACCCATTAATGGGTCAGAACCTAAACAGATTTGATTCATGTAATGAAGCCATCACAGACTGAGGAGCTACAGGTAGATCAGGCAGCAAAAGAAACTGATTTTAATTATTCATTCCAGTAAATCTGAAGTTAAAATGTTAATTAAACAAAAAATAAAAGATAAAAGGAACGGAAGAAAGGGAAAAAAGGAAGTTAGTTTTATAAAAAATTAAGAAGAAAACTGGAGAAATGAGAAGAAGAGGAAGAACTAGAAGAGAAGAAAGATTTTGGGCAAAACAGTAAATTTAAAACCTGAAGTAGATTAAACTATTAAACTGTTGGACGTGATGTTTTACTGTAATAATGATGAGGAGGAGAGACAGCAACTCATTCAAAAGTAAAAGTTTCATTAGATTTATTTGAATTATTTAGAAGGTTTTTTTTTTTAGAAAGTAACATTTACAGGATAATATTTCTATATCTAAAAATAATAATTTTATATAATAGAATTTAATTTCTGAGTCATTCTGGCCGACACCAGTAGATGGCGGAAATGCATCTATTTGCTGTTTGCTAACCCACCGGCAGCTGGACTCTCCGCCTCACCGCCGTCCCTCCAGCAGGGGGCAGCGTTTCTCACTCACCGTACAGGTCTGGGTTGTTCCTCAGGTAATGTTTGACAAAGTTCCTTCCAGGCAGAGGCAGCACCGAGCCCTTCACCCTGTCCAGAACCTGGATCAGGACAGGATGGACCACCGTCAGACCACCGCTGGGTTCAGAGGGTCCCACAGACGCACAGCGCTCCTACCTGAACCGTGTCCACGTTGAAGAAGGACTGGTAGTACTCAAAGGTCCAGAATCCTCCACCTGATCTCTGTCCTCCTAGAAGCTGGAAGCACAGAACTTTCATCAGCTGCTGACGGACCTGGATCTCCTGGATCTCCAGGATCTCCTGGATCTCCAGGATCTCCAGGATCTCCTGGATCCTGGTCTTCGGAACCAGTCACCTCTGAACTCTCCTCCCGAGCGTCCTCGTCCTCAGACAGGTCCAGTTTGATGTCCTCCCCCGCTGCCGCTCCGGCCGCAGTGGTCGGGTCGTTGGATGCAGACGCGCTGAGCGTGGAGGCCCCGGGGTCCGCAGACAGAAGATCTGCTGCTTCCTCAAACTCTGCAAACACAGAAGGACGAGGAGCTGAACCAACGTGTCACTTCCTGTTCCTCAGGGTGAGGGGAACCACATCCCAGACAGGGGGGGGGATTTACCATTAGGCAATACTAGGCAGGTTCCTGGGGCCCCATAAAACTCTGTTTCAACTATTCCTTATTTTTCCACATTAATTATGTTTTTGATAAAAAGGAAACAAGAAGAAAAGGGACAAGAAGAGAGGGACACAACCTAGAATAGATAATGGATGTCTATTCTATTAACATTTCTCTATCTGGAGAATGGGGCTGTTTTATGTGTTGTCTTCTCCATTCAGTGGGCCCCCTGCCGTCTTTGCCTAGGGCCCCACATTTCCTAAATCCACCCCTGATCCCAGTAAACCCAGTAGGTCAGTGGGTTGGAGCTTCAGAGGTGACTAGCTACTGGTAAAAAGGTCAAAGGTCATTCCTTCCTCTCTAGGTTTTCTTTCCTGTCTGAACTCCAGGCTGAACCCCTGAACGCCTCACGGTCCTCTGCTAAACACAGGGCGGCCATGACGGTTCTGATCCATTTAAAGGGAAATAAATCAGACTATTTATCAGGGAATAGATTCCATCCAGCTGAGAATCAATAATCCAAACATTCATTTCCTGCCTCTGTGGGCTCAGCTGGGAACCCGTGTTAGTTTTTCCATAAAGTTAAAAACAATCCACTAGACTTTGTTTCCAAGTTTGAAGATGTTTCACTTCCCATAAGCGAAGGGGGCGGAGCTAGTTTTCCTGCTTCAGTTTCCATGTTTTCTAAACCAAAACAAGAGTTTGTTGGTCTGCTCTATAAAACCTGGAGCTAAACACTAATCCAGACATTTGAATTGAAGAAGCTTCCTGGATGGGAAGAGAAACATCTTCAAACTTGGAAACAAACTCCAGTGGATTGATTTTTAAACTCGTAGAGAAGCGGCCGTTCCAACCGTTGCATTTCCGAATTCTCCCAGTGGTGCCCGACTTTATACAAGTGAATAAAGTGAAAGTGATTGGTCGATTATCAAGGCGGCGGGATTGTTGTGGCGGAAGGTTCACAATCAGTTTGGTTGTGGCCGGTTTGTCGGAAGCATGTTGCTAACCAGTTAGCAACTTAGTGCTAGCAGGTTCCCAATGGGAAATTCCATTGGGACCAAGTAGCACTAAATTGGTGACTTAGAAACGACGCTGTCAAGGAACGCTATGGA